AGACAAAAGGTAATTTGTGACAAATGCATGAGGAGTAAAGAAACGGGAGGTGCTCAAGCACATAGAAGCATAACTGTTATATTAAGTTTAATCAAAAAAGAAAGCTTGGTCTTAAAAGACATCGAAACCCAAAGTGAGAGCTGGTTCCATAGGAGAGGGATCTAATAGCTAAAAGGTCTGCCTGCCATTATTCTTTTGCAAACTCTGGCAAACAAATAAATTCTGGATTTAACTGGAAGCCAATGAGTAGAAGCTAATATGGGAGTCTCGGTGATGATGAGATGAGAGATGAGATAGCCTTTATTTGTCAGTTGCAGTTGCCCATAACCGAGATGACAGACCTAGCCAACCGTACATACAATACACAAACATCACATTGGGGAGACAGGTCAGGCTAGGTAGCAAGGGGGGGAAAAAACATTGAAATGTGTAACACAGAATACAGGAATGCGCAGATATCAACACACCATAGCACAATAAACACAGACAAACAACATGGGAGAGTATTCCAGTGTGTACAGCTGAGCCAAAGACTGTACTCTCAGTACTCTCAGTGCAGTGTTTTGGATCAGCTAAAGGTTTTTCAGAGCATTTTTAGGACAGCCTGACTCTGAAGAATTATAATAGAGTAGCAAAGGAGTAATAAACTACTTTGTCACTCAGAGGCAGGATGTCTTCATTTTGGCAATTCACAGTAATACTGGAGGCCATGTCATTCAGGAAATCCATTCAAGCATTACATAAATGTCTACAAATTAATTTATTAGTAAACAGTCTTGCACATCGTTGGAAGTGTGGTGATTAATTCTTCATTTAAAAATGTTGCAGTGATTTCAGATTCATTGAAAGTCAAACTGTCATGTTTTTGCCAGCTTTGTGAGGAATATAGTGGATTAATACTATCTGTCAGATAGCTTCAAAAGATGATCCACAAGATATTCATGTGGATCATCTTCTTCTTGGAAAACAAACTCTCTGGTAAGATGTAAATGCTCCAAGTTTTATTTTGTATACATAAAATCACACACTATTACATTTTCTTGTGAGTCATGACTGTGCTGTTAACAGGGTTTCCAACATACTTATACTGTTGAGTGATCAAGTTCATCACAATCCTGATCTTTACAGTGACAGTTCAACATGCTGCAAACAGACTGGTGAGGCAATGAAATGCATAAAGTGTTTCAATTAAAACATCTTTTATATATAGGGTGTCAATTTTAGATCACATTTTATAGTAAGCTAAATTTAAAGTCCAGAGATTTCCTGATGATTTCCAGAGGAAGCTGTGTGCACAGCTGTGAAGCTAATTTACTCGAAACTCTTGTATCTAGTTTGACTACCACTCCTGGGTGCCCAATGGCTCGCTCCTGCTGAGAAAACCTTCTCCAACCACTAAATGGTTCAGACAAATTTGGAGACTCTCCCAAATGTTTTGAGAGACAGTGGAGTTTGCAGGAATGGCTCGACATCTCTCTCAGAAGTGCACTAATGTATTAAGTTTTACATTTTATCAATTCATGATGCACAACCCTCACTAGCCCCTCCCCCCAAAAATCACCACCAAAGAAAAAAAAATAAAGCAACATAAATATATATACATATATTTGTTTTTTAATAATGGTTCTGGTCACAATCCTTACCTGAAACTCCATCAGCCATGGACACTTACTGCTTATTGTGAAAGCTTATTGTTTTCACTAATAAGCCCAGACATGAAGGTAAGACCAGATGTTTGGTATTTCTACAAACTGAGGTCCTTGATCAAAGGCCAAAACTGTGAAGTAGACAATGGACAGATGTAACAAAAAGGTTTTGTAATTCAGGTTTTTAAAGATCATATCACTAAATCGGTTGACATTTTTTCATTACTTTGCAGGTTCTTGTGGGTCAGTGCGCTTAAGAGCAATTTGATGAGTTTGCCTTAAAGCAAATGATTAAGGAGTTTCTAGCCCAGCTGTCAAAACTCAGTGAAGCAATTACAGGAAGAAACTCTCAGCTTGAAGTACCCTCCACATATCTGAAGCTGATTAAAATAGAGATCAGCATAATTATTTAAGAAAGGCGTCAACTGGCACCACCAGGCTAACTTACATGGTAGGAGGTTAATTCATACATGCCTGACAAGGTATTTTCATGCTAGAACAGTTTTTTTGGTTGTAACCGAAAAGCTTATAGTGTTTTTATTTAGTAGTAACAGGATTATACACTTTTTTGAAACCTTACATTCATGTGGAAAGAAGAGCAACTGATTTGTGGTAGGTGGATTACTCTAATGTGGTATTGTCATGGCTGCGGAAGCAGACATGTGGAGTGGTGAGAGAAAGGACCCAAGTGCAGGCACTGATGAATGACTGACACGTGAGCTTTATTTACAGTGGGGGAAATGAAATACAAGCAAGTGCTGAACATGGCAGCGGCTAAACTAAAACAAAACCAAAACTGGGTGAAACTAAAACATGATACAAAGGAACAAAAGTCTGGGACTAGAAACCCAGGACATGAAACATAAAAACCTGAGACAGAGGAAGACACAGGGCTTAAATACACAGGCAGGACAACGAGCGATTGGGGAACAAGGTGGCAACAAAGCCAGGACAAATCACACATAACAAGACAAAGGATGCAAAGCAGAATACCCAGACTTAAGGAAAGGACTTTCAAAGTAAAACAGGAAGCACAAGACATTCGCAGACTCAGAGACCCAGACTTGACATGACTGACTGGATATGAAACATAGAACACAGGGAAGACACAGTTACTGAAACCAGGAGCTAGAACTACAAATATAAAATGAACAGAAAACCATCAGCAAAACCAAAGCCATGAATAACAAATAATAATGGTATATAACTTAAACACAAAAGCCATGACAGGTATAGTAAAAAACATGAACTCTCCAAAGGGATTGTGTTTAGAGTCTCTTGATTATACAAACTGATCCTTGCCACCAATTGCATGCATGTCCATATACTGCGGATGCTCACATTAGAGGAGTTGGTCACTTCTAAAGCACAGTATTAGAAATAGTCCATGTACAGCATATAGCATGCACGGTGGCAGTGTACAACAATTATTCAGCTTTAACTGATCAAATGGTGAACTGCATGTACGGATCATCATTTCTTCCGGTCAGATGAGTGGCAAATTCTGTGCATGATGGCCTAAATTCTACCGACAAGAGAGCACATCCATAAGTCAAAAATGAGCAGATCTAATAAGGGAAAAACAAGTAATCTAACAAAATGAATACTATGTAAGTGCAGATTTTACACATGCTCAAGAGACAGCTAAAGAAGAATCAATACAGTTTATAAGGTTGACCCCCTTTATTTGAAATCGAAACTAGTTGTGCAGTCTTAGAGGCAGCTGTTCTCTAGAGGCAGGTAAAGGGCAGGATTCATCTAGAAAAGTGCTGCTTTATTAAAATGCTTCTACTTTAAAAGATGTGTGTAGAAGAACACAAATCACCATTTAGGGTCGAGTCAGGTCCTGAGCATACCTATTACTTAAGTTACTGTGCCTTGTGATTAATCCACACATTGCTGGTGTCGTTTTCTGCTGCAGGATTTGTTAAAGTTTCTGTTATTGCCTAATCTCTGAGTAGAAATGTGATTAAAACCCTGAAGCACTGCAAACCTATCGGCTCACTGCAACACAGAACTTGGCTGCCTAACACGCATCCTTGCTTTTCTTTGGATTCTCCTCCTTCTCGTGCACCACATTACTTCTACTCTGTATAAAACCAGCATTTTGTCATTGTTATTATTATTGTTATTATTACTGAGGACCAGAAATATTTGGATGTTAGCCCTATACATGCAGGGTGATTGTGAAGGATTAGAGGACAGAGCCCAAGTTTTGGCACTCGGCCACCCAAAGCAATTATGTGCTTGTTCTGGTAATACCTTCTCTCATTCCAAATAAATGAAAACGCCTGATGGCAACAATCACAACCACACCACACAGCTTAAGATGTTCTGTTCTGTGTTAAAAAGGATCTTTTGTAGTAAATTATAGATGGCAAATTTAGTTCATTGTGTTTGTAGGATTTATTTAAATGCTATTTTGTTGCATTTGTTGCCTCTAGAAGCACTACATGTTTAAATGTAAGCACACAATAAATATCCACCAAAGTTGAAGGTCAACTTAATAATTTATGGATTCAAAATTGACAAAAAAAAAACCCTGAGAACTTAGATACCATTACCAGTGTGGTGGTTTTGTCTACACATAAAATGTACTATATAAAAATGTTAAATATTGTGTCAAGTTTGACCTCTGGCTTGTTCTAGGTCAACAGCTGATCTGAAGGCCAAAGTGATGATAAAGCTACGTATAGCTATTTAAAACTACGTTTCTCACTGCCATTGTTCGTGTTGACAAACTACAAGCATAGAGGGAATCCTATTCTAAATATTGTTTTTAAATATCACATTACTTTGTGCTTTTTTTGTACCTGTTCTTTTGTTTTTAAAGCTGTACTTAAAATTCAAATGCCACAATTAGAAAATTATACTGGTATCTGGGTATTCTAAATATCACGTTATAGTTTGCAAAAAAAAATCATGTCACATTTGACCTCTGATCTCACTTTCGCACTTCACGTCTGCCTTTCTTTCAAATTCTAAAAATCTTTAGTTAAAAGTATTGTTTGCTGCCTACAGTAGTTAGAAATGCACTGTAATATAATATTATATAATAAACTCAAGTTATTGGTGTCCAGTTATTTATAAAGCAATAAATGTTATCCATCTGTCACGCTTCCTTTTTTTATTGCACTACAGAAGTACGTTAAAAACAAAAAACAAAGAAAAGAAAATGAATGTATAGAAAATACAATACTTTTCCCTTAAGAGTAGATGCTGCCCACAGAGTAATGCGTTTTCTGAAGCGCAGTCCTTTGAGCCGTCCAGTCTTACGTGGCTTCTGCAAGGTGCCCGATAATCCTGGCAGAGTGGGACCTCATTCTCTTTTTCTTGTCTTTGCTGCAAACTGAACTGTCCAACTACACCCGGTTATTTTTAGGCTACACTATACAGTCACACCGTCGCGAATGTAACGCAATAGCTGCTATAACATTATAAGCCATAATAACCCATAAGGTCGCCATACCATAATCGGCTGAACAGATTTAGGCAAGCCTGCGGTCATGTTATTTAGATTCGGCGTCATTCTCACTCCGGAGTCCTCGGAGGTCGACGTCTTTGTTTTGGGTTCGCGTGCTGAAATGGGGAACTGGGACCCGAACAGAGCGGTTCGGATGAAAGCCACACAGAAACTCCCGTCACCCGCAGAACCGTGTCTGTGGATCGGTGAGGTGCACCTAGCCGAGCCCCACAGAGACACACTGTGGTTCAAGTTCATCCAAAGAGTCAGAGGCACCTTTATCTGGGAAGGTACCTGTGCACTTCTGGTTTAATGCGCATCACATCTGGTTCACATGTAGACGGTTTTCCAGACGTCTCACAGATTTGCTGTAATTACTGTAAGGTTAGCGGGGAGAGACATAAATATGACTGCGCCATGTTTGGTTGCTATTGTGCAATGTTTTCATAGTGCCACATGATGGCGGTAAGTGACACTAAATGTTCAGTGGCTAACAAATTGCATTGAATCTGCAAACCTAAAAAAGTTTAAAATTTCTGAAAAACATCCGAAAAAACTATTGAGTCTTTTAGTTTAAATTAACAGTTGAAATTCAGCATGTGAATATAACGGTTTACAGATAGAGTTCAGCATTTATACTTCATCATCTGCACCCAGGAATGAATGCACAGTATTGCAATACTGGATTCCTCTGAAAGTTTCTTTAACATGTAGGCTATATTTAATGTTATGATATATATATTTTTTGATTTAATGTAAATGGATAAAAGGATTCTCATTTGAAATTAGTCATATGGTCCTACTGTTGGA